AGACGCTGCCTAACCAGTGAACCCGGGGGTGGGGATGGGGGCGCAGCCTTTGTCACGCACCAGACACCGTGGGGCCCTCTGTTCTGGATGCACATGAGTTTTGGAAGGGAGGGGGAGGCAAGGTGGACCAGGACCATTTTTATTGCCCTTTCCTCAGCTCAGAGGGAAGGTGGTGGTTGTTTTTTCCTGGCCTGGGAATGAGGGTGACGAGAGCTTCTTTTTTCTCTTCGCACAGCGACTTCCTGATCCTGCCGGGCTTCATTGACTTCACGGCAGACGAGGTGGTGAGTTCAAGTCCTCAGCTGGCCTTTGTCATCACTTGCCCGTTTGTGGTATTGGGAGGTGTGGGGGGGGCGAGCGGGGGATGGTGGGTGCAGGATGGGCCCAGTTGCCATGTCCAAGTGTTGTCTCCCTGGGAGGTGTGCCATTCAGAGCGCTTGGAGCGGTCAGCTACGCAGGAGGGATCCTGTCCCAGGCATCCTGTTCCCCTGATGGCCAACCCCATGTCGCTGAGATTATAAACCCCCCCCTGCCCCGGGCAGGACACAAGCACCCTGACACCCCTTCCCACATGCTCCCCCACTGCTGGCCTTCCGAGAGGGACCGGCTGGGCCTCCAGAGGATCTGGCCCGGGTGTTGTGCACAGACCTGGTTGAATTGCAGGCCCTGGGTCTCAACCCTTCCGGGTGCAAGGCAGCTGCTGTGCCCCTGAGCCCCGTCCCCCCCCCCGATTCCTCTTTTCACCCTGGAGTCCCCTCAGTCGGGGTGTGCCGGGGGGGTGTCACTCTTCCCCCCCCCCCTTTGTTTCTTTGGACTCCCAACTCCCAGGACTTTTGGCAGCAACGACGACAGCAACTGCCGAGGAAGGTTGCCTCTTCAGAGAGAGAGAGAGAGAGATGCATGGGCAGAATTCTGGGGCTTTCAGCCCCTAGACCCACGCGGTCCTTTTGCTTTCATGGAGAGAGGACCCCCTTCTCCAGGAAACCCCCCACCCCCACCCCCACCGCCGCTTCCTGTCTTGGGCAGGGAGCCGGGCATGAGGCAGCCTTGGCAGGAGAGGGATCTTGCTCCGTGTGAGTGACATGTAGGGGGTCTGTCAGTATATGAGCTGGAACTCCCAGGAATCTCTCCCGGGGACTTGGGGGGTCCACCCCACGAACCCCACCCTGCCAAGTGACATCTCTGCCCAGCGCTCCCCTTCTCTTCCCGGGCCAGCTGGGCTGGCGTACGGATCCTGGGGCCAGGGCCGGGGTCTCAATTTTGTGCCCCTGCTGGGGGACCTCCCGGCAGGAGCAAGCCGGGCCTTCCCTCCAGGGCTGGGAGAAAGGGGGTCCCTGCTGGGAGGGGGGAGGTGTCCCCTCGGGGCGGCTGCGTTGCCCACCCTGCTGGGTTTGTCAGGCTGGGTGCCCGTTCCAGCCTGGCAGAGGTGTGCTAGAGTTTGGGCACCTCCGCACCCTCTAGG